AGGGGACCTATATCGTGACAGGATATTAAGTCCAGTATGTTGTCACCTCTTGTAGGGATAGTGACAGTTCGTTTCCAGCCGAATATATCCCGTGTACCTAAGAGCTTGTCATATTTAGTTGGCCCTGTTAATAAATCCCAGTTGATTCCCGGTAGGTTGAATTCTCCACATATGTTCTTATGCTCGTATGAAAGAGTGGATACTTACTCCAGTACATTTATAAGTAGTGTCTCGTGCCAGGTGCTTTGTAGTTACATCCTATTAGTAGTGTAGCACTTTTGAAGTGTACGTTGACCCATAGGGTGTCATGCATGTCATTCAGTTCCCTATTTTCTAGCTGTGAGACAGTGAGTGTGTTCTGGAAGTACATTAGGCAGCCTCCTCCCTTACCACTGTTCCTGTCACAGCGAAGGTGTATTCACCCTTCGATGCTTATCTCTTCATCTGGTATATTGGAGTGACACCATGATTCGGTAATAGTAATTATTGGGGGTTTGTATACCAGCGAGTGTTCTCCGAGCATCGGTAGTTTGCTAAGGATAGATCTAGCATTAATAAGCATTAAATAGAGTTGAGATTTGAAGTAGAGTTTGAAACATTTAAGCTCGTCAATAATGTTCAAGTGTGGATCGGCATCCACTGTTTCCGCCTGGCTTAACAACCCTGTGTTGCAGCTAGTTTGGGTACCATTTTCACCTATGTCTGTCGAGTTACTATGCATTTTTTAGTGAGTAATGGGTTTTGTTATTAGATAAACTATACGATGTGGGCAGACTTGGAGCCAGGTGAAAACTACAGCAGAGAACCGAACGCAATAGAGACGCATGGTTGAAGCCCTATGTTCCTCTAGGAATTAAAGGAAATAATAATAATAATACGATGACGTAGTTCTAGGCTTGGGTGGTTTGGAGACTTGGGTCGGAGTTTTTATTTCGCCTATGCTTGTACAGTCATTGGGTGTGATTAATAGTTCCGTGTGTGCTAGCCTATGTCTGTTCTCTTCCCGATAGGGAGCCATCATTATTGGTACGGGTTCAGAAGGGTTAACATCCCCACCAGCTGTTTGGTTAGCGCTGACAGGGATGTGTTGGATAAAAAATCACTGGTACCTTGTGATGCCCATGACTTGTTAATCTGCCTATTGTGTGGGGACATTCCAAGAGACCTTACAGGGGTTTCGTTATGTACATAGCTGCACTGTAGTTTGTTTCCCAGAAGACTTGTTCCGTATAATCTGCCAAAGTTAGTTTGTGCGTCTTACTTTGTAGACCCCGAGTGCCTGGTGGCTGAGCTCCAAGTGTCGTCACTTATACTACTTTGCGTGATAGCGCCACTACACCAGCTGCTAGCGTGACTTCGTACAGTATGCGAATAGGTTGTGTCGTTATTATCCTTGGACTCTATGTCCTTATTTTTGTTTTTAATTTGGTTGCTAGCATAGTTTTGAATATTATTTACCTTAAAGCAAGAGTTATTCTCGGGAGTTTGAATATGTTAGGGATTCTTCGCAACAAGTGGCGTATTTCGGCATGTTTTGTTACTGAATTCCATTTGCGTTGTCACGTTTTGGCTAGGAGAGGATGTCGTCAGCTTACAAGAGGGATTGATTTCCATCTTATGGATGTCCATAGACATATCTAGATCCACGGTAGAGGGCGGAGAGGTTAGTTTAGGAGTAAGACTATAGCTCCCAAGTCTTTCGTTTGCTTTGGTTTTCTGTGGAGCTATTTTTGTGAGATTCGAGAGGGGGGTGGCAATGAGTTCTACCGTGTTGGCGGTGTGTTTGTCAATTTTAGTGGCTTGCGGTGTCTTGACATTAGGTTTATTGAGGTGATTGTAAGCACGCCTTTCAATCACTGTCTTATCTGCTGAAACTTATTCGTTTGTAGCTTGTGTCCTGTAATAAGATACGTTGTGTGTTGGTGAATTTTTTAGCCTCTGTCAGAGTTTCAAACTGAAGGCGTATAGGACAGCAGTGATCGTGCTGGCTGTTCTTCACTCTGTGATATTCTGTTTCAGAGTTAGGCATATTCACTGCCCGGAGTAAGATGCTTTGAACCTTTTTCAACCCCTCATTATCTGGTATATAATAGACAATCACATTTAGTTTAGTATCAAGTCTTTTGATAACCTCTGTTGTGATGAAGTTTATCAAGGTGTCTACCTTAGTAACTGATTCTGTGTCAAGTTCGCCTGGGTTTATGGACCTAGTCAAGATGTTCAGAGGTGCAAGTTCACAGACCTGTGATTTTATATCACCAATCTGTGTTGATAGTTGAGATAAGTTCTGAAAATTCTGCATTCATATCTTTACTACACCTTATGTTTCGCATCTCAGTCTTTAGTTCTTCTACGGACAGCTTTAGTCGTTCTATTTCTGAAGTAAGTGTTGGAGCTGGCCTAGGTATCTGAAGTTTTGTGACACGTACATAAGGTGAAGTGAAGAGATTTATGTCAGGACCAGGTGATGAGTTTGTAGAGGCGATGCTACTACTGGTTGTCAGGATATTTTCGCTCTCAGTTTCAGCCACAGTAGATGGTAGTGACCCGGCAGCTCAACACATACGGCGTATTGGCAAGCTGTGCGCCTCACTTCCATACTTCGTGGGAGTTGTGCTACTCGTTGTTACGAGCATATATGTACTATCGGTCATCAGGTTAACAGGTGACTGAGTTCGTGGCTTTTTTGTATGACTAACCATAACTAATTAGTGAAAGGGCTATTGGTTACAATTGTGGAACTAAAGAAACACTTGTTTTGATTGCTGCAATAATACACTATCGTATTCCTTCGCAAGTGCCTTCTGAATTACGTTGTGGATGTCGAGTAATCGCAACGTTCGTACACAATTATAAATGCGAAGAAGTACTAAGATATAAGTGTAGGCTAGTTTAGTCACAATATAGCAGCACAACAGACTGTTCTCATATATCAAGAGAAGAACACGTAGGAGTGGTGCTATCCCACCTCTTATGCTTAAAGATGACCAGACAAATATGGCTGAGGATAACTTGACTAAGGCTGAGGCTTTGTCCAAGCACTTTAGTCAAGTATTCTCTGATCATGTTGATACCAGCTTTGTAACTTTTCCAGAAGGTAACTGGAAAATGACACCCTTATACATTGGAAAAAACACTGTCCTAAAGTGGCTTCTAAGGCTCAATCCTGGTAAGTCCAGTGGTCCTGATGAACTCCACCCACGTATATTAACAGCACTGGCTGAAAACATAGTCGAGCCATTGTCGGTAATCTTCAATATGTCTCTGGACCGGTCTAAATGTCCAAGAGACTGGAAAGATGCCATCATTAGTCCGGTCTTGAAAAACGGATCTAGAAACTTAGTTCAGAACTATCGTCCTGTTAGTTCGACCAGTATTGTTGTTAAACTACTAGAAAGAATAATTCGTGATGCCGTGGAGTGCGCAACAATGTGATTGTACACTTTTTGGTTATTTGTAGAAATTAGACATATTGTACATAATTTTTGTTTAAAACGCTTCTTGTTGAAATACATTGGCTTCCGTGTACGATTGAAAAAATGCACTCTGCTGTTGGAGGAGTGAGGCTATGTTCTATGATAAGGTGTTTTCGCGCATTGCATGGGTTATCGCGTTCACGCCTATAGAGACGTTCTAACCGCTCAGTATTGTGAAAATAGATTCTATTTGACTAATTTTAGGCTTCTGTAGCCGAAAAATGCAATATTTTTGTGTATTGTGTTCGTAGTAATGCGTAATATTGTCATGACAGCCTAGATGAATTACTAATAAAAGAGTCATCATTTTGAAGAAATATCGCATAAAAAGTCCGTTATTAGGGTTTTAGAGCATTTAGGCATTGTTTTTCGTGAGTTGTTTCAGATCTTAAGGTTGTAAATTGACTGCAGGCAATGGCTGTGGTCATCCCAGTTATTCTATGAGAATCGTGCATTTGAAATAGAAATAGCCTAGAGACATAAGTTTGATGTGTGTTTTGAGGATGTCAGACACTTCTTTTATCATCTGTGATGACTGAAATATTCCATAGCACATGGAAGAGATCATGCAATGAATGAGACAGGCTGCTGCATTTCCTGGTGATTATATCTACTTTGATGAAGTTCCCATTTAAAATTGCTTAGGCGAAGACATGATACTAGTTTAATTGACATTAGCACTTGGAATGTCAGAAGGCTTTAATTGTTCATTGTGAAAAATGGCATCAGATTACGTGTATATCAGTGTGCATGGGGTTACGAAGAATACTGCAGATGGTCCTCCTGAAATGTCAGACTACTTAAAATTAGTATCAATTTTCTGTCGATTAGTAGCT